TCACACGTCCTTCGCGCAGACGGTGTTCGACAGCCTCTTCAGTCACCGTACATAGGACCGTCGCAACGAGACTGGACCTTAACGTGGTACGACGGTTTGCGTACCTCACTGACCCATTAAGCTATACTGGGTGATGCCTCCGGGCACCTTGAGAGCTACTCCTACCAGGTTGGTCAATGGTTAGAGGTCAGACAAACTCAGTATACTGGTCCTCCAGGTTGGGGTTTGAAATGGGATGGCGTCCATTTCTGTAAAACTAAATCATTGCCACCTCCCCGCTGCCTTGCGGACAGGCTTTAGAGCCAAAGGCTTTGGATGAGGACCCTAATCGTAATCCTGTCTAGGTCTGGGCGCAATGGCAGTATCTCAGCTCATTTACAACCATGACATTTTCTACAAAAATAAACTTCATCCTGCATCGGCCGTCGTGCAGACCACCAAGAGTCACCTTATCTGGGCGGATAAGCGAAAACATGCTACTGTTGGCGCCTCCCTTCTTTCTTTTCCACATTTTTCTCTTATTCCCATCCCGACCCCCATTACTAACCTTCATTCTATAATCCCCAGCTTAATTGACAGCAACCGAAATGCCACGAGAGTAGAACCATCTGCAGCCACCATCCCACAGCACCTATCGGACGCATATCGGCAAAAGTCCCTTATAAGGTCACGCAATCCCGTTTCGATGACGACATTCAACGTCCGCACTCTAAGACAAACAGGTCAACAGGCTGCACTCGCACGCACCTGGGACACACTGGGTATTGATATGTGTCGTGTCCGAAACTAGGGTCAATGACCCTAACGGGGTTGTTGAAGTAAATGCACCCGGTTTATCCTCTCGTTATTGGTTGCACGCATCCGGAGACGCCGACGCGGCACTCAAGGGTCAAGCTGGTGTAGGTATCATTCCTAAGCTCCAACGCTGTGCCAACGTTGGTTGATTAGATTCCGGTGAACAGCCGTTTATGTGCAGCCCGTTTGACGACATCAGCTAAGGTTGATTCACGAAGCAATACAAAACGCTGTTTGTTTGTGATTTCCGCTTATACTCCCACCGACTGCAGTTCTAATGCTGTCAAGCACACATTCCATCACGAACAGAACTCGCTACTACGCAGTGCTACTAGTTCAGATATTATAGTACTTGCAGAGGATATGAACGCACAAGTAGGACGTCTGAGCTCTTCAGAAGCTCAGCTGGGTGGTAATTGTGGCCTTAACTCCGAACGGACTGACAACGGTGAGTGTCTGCTGCAACTGTGTGCGGAGCATCAGTTGTTTCTTAGTAGCATTGCTTTTAGACACTGTGGGCGCCGAAGTGCCACTTGGCGTCCTCCTGTAGCTGGCCAGCGATGGACCCTAATTGACCACATAGCTTTAAATTATACATGGCGTGGTTCCATCCTGGATTGATGCTCGTATTGGAGTACCTGTGCCGACTCTGATCATGCCTTGGTACGCTGTCGTTTCTCCATGAAGTTTACCGGGAGGCGCACCAAGCGTCCCCCACCATTGGCAACCGAGAAATTATCTCAGTCCTCGGTCAGGCAAGCCTATCAAGAAACACTGCATACCGAACTTCCGCTGTCTTGTCCTAATGACACTGAGCTTCAGTGGAATAGGATCTCGGCCGCGATGCAAGACGCAGGAGCATCTGATTGTGGCACTATCCATCGTCACCACGCCAGTCACTGGATATCCGAGAGGTCGGTGAACCTGTTGGAATCTAGAAGACACCTCCCGGATGGCTCTGAACACAGTGTGACCAGACGGGCTATTAGGCATGAACTAAAGCAGAGCCTACGTGCTGACAAGGAAGCCTGGTGGACCAGTAGGGCGCAAGAAATGGAGGAGGCAGGAGCAGTAGGCAATTATCGCAAGCTCTTCCAGCTAATCCGCACCACTGGTCCCAGAAAACCAGGCGTCAGTGAGACAATCAGAGACCGCGCGGGTGCACCGATACACAATAAGGAAAGCCGTATGGCTCGTTGGGCGGAACACTTTCAAGATCAGTTCAGCTGGCCCCCTGCTCCCGGACTTCTTCCTACTCAGGTAATGCAGGACGAGCCATGGACGGTTAGTTTAGAGCCTCCGTCAGAGGCCGAGGTCCGAAACGCGATCACAGCCCTCAATCGTTTTCGTGCCGCTGGCCCAGATTCCCTCCCACCAGCACTATTTAAGAATGGAGATGAGGTCCTCTGCAAAGCACTGACCTCCTTATTCGAATTTATCTGGAAGGAAGTGTCCCGGCTAATTGGAGCGAATCGATTGTAGTGGCAATATACAAGAAGGGCAGTCGCACAGACTGTTCTAACCACAGGGGTATTAGCCTAACACCAGTTGTAACAAAATTATTGGCCTCGATTATCGCTCGTCGCCTCACTGCGGAACGGGAATCTCGGATTAGGGTAGAGCAGGCTGGTTTCCGCCCAGGGCGTGGCTGTATAGACCATATATTCACTTTGCGGCAAGTGCTAGAGCTGCGCCACGCATAACGCAGATCGACAATAGCTGTGTTCCTCGATTTCAAGAGTGCGTTCGATTCAGTCG